CTAAATATATATATATATATATACATATTTTAACTAACCCAAATAGATAATGACCACACTCATTATTATTATTATTATTATTATTATTATTATTATTATTTTCAAACAAGATATAGATAGACACACAAACAAACTGGTTGAGTGATAACAGCTGAATAAAAAAACATAGGTCTTACAGTTTCAACAAATTAATAACATGTTCTTCATCTTTCCTCTTCTCTCTCTCTATCTCTTGCTCCATCATTTTCTCTCTTTATCTTCCCTCCTCTCTATCCCTCTTCCCCCATTTTCAGCTTTTTTTTGTATATTTTTTTGAAAAAAATAGTTTGGAACTGTTATGTAATAGTGTGCAACAGGCCGTTACGGCTGTTACAGCACCGTTACGACCGCTACGGTAGCCGCTACGGCCGACACACCTGTGAATCTCAATCATACTGCAAAAGCGACCGTAACGGGTGATAGTACCAATCAAAACCGTTACGTAATGATTGCGACCGTTTTTTAAAACCTTGATTATGCTAGATTATATACATATTTTCTATCTCTCTTCTTCGAGGATGTCATTGTACTCTGGTGTTGGGAAAGTGATTGAAGAAAAAAGAATGGTCAATGTTTATTTTGGATTTTGCTGGAGTTGGAGCTATTCTTAGGCAAGACGATGTGGAGGGATCTACGCGCACCCATATGCGTTGTAGGCTTTAAGCTCCTCTAGAGTGTAAATCCTAGTGTGATCCATCTAAGGGTTAAGACTAAACCTCATCAAAACGATGTCGTTTTGGTGAGTAATTTGAAAATAAATAAATAAATAAATAAATTCTCAGATATATTTCTTCATTCCTGTGACTGTGAAGCAGCATTAGAGAGAAAGAGAAAGGCTGAGAGAAGGAGAGAAGAGGAGGATCCACATCGCCGCCCCGCCCTACCTTGGCCCCGACGCGCTGTCGCCGCCGCTGCCACACCTCTGCTGACACCCTACCCGTCATACTCCAAAACTAAGGTTATTAGGTCTTTGATAACCACTGGTCATTCCACCATTACAGAATTCTGCAACATTCAAAATCAAACCAAGGAGATAAACAAACCCAGCACAAACCCACTTGGGTACCAATTTGTTCTTTGTTTTCCCCAATCCAAAGTTCAAATTCAACCATAAACCCATTTAGGTACTATTTTGTTTTTTCGTTTTCCCCAATCCAGAGTTCAAATTCAACCTCTAAATGCGAACCCTTTCACAATAATTTCCAAACCCTGTTCTTGAAACTTTGTAAATAATAATTATATTAGAAATAATCACAAAGAAGAAGAAGAAGAAGAAGAAGAAGACGATTGTTGTTGTGTATATGTAATGTGTGTGTCACCTCTCTTTCACTCTGTTTGTTGTGTATATGTAATGGGCGTTGTGTTTATGTAATGGGTGTGTGTCTTCTCTCTGTTCTTCTCTCTCTTACACTTTGTTTTCTATATGTAATGGGTGTTGTAGATCTGAAAAAAAAAAAAAAAAAATTCTGAATTACTCAGGCTTAATCTCAACCCTTGGATGGATCAGTCTAAGAGATTACTCTAAGATTTACGCTCTAGAGGATCTTAGCTCTAACTTCTCGTGGCTGTGTATGGATGCAAGTTGTCGTAAAGTTGGTCAAAGAGCACATGGTTTTGTCCTTATCCACGGTTTTGGAACATTGTTTCTGATAGAAATGGAGGAGGCTTGGTTTTATATATAAGGCTACGTTTGACATGTTCATTTGGATAAAAATAGTCATACATGATAAAATTGACTATTTTAATCAAATACGACAAAATATTACATCTAAATCATAATTATTTTTCCTCAAAAAATCCAAAAATCCTATCCGAAACGAGACTTTTTAGCTCCGGACTAAAATAGCTAAAAAGTCAAAAAGCTAAAAAGTCAACACACATCTCAAACGGAGACTAAGTAGGGGTGTAAATTTGGGGAGATAAACAAACCCAGCACAAACCCACTTGGGTACCAATTTGTTCTTTGTTTTCCCCAATCCAAAGTTCAAATTCAACCATAAACCCACTTAGGTACCATTTTGTTTTTTCGTTTTCCCCAATCCAGAGTTCAAATTCAACCTCTAAATGCGAACCCTTTCACAATAATTTCCAAACCCTGTTCTTGAAACTTTGTAAATAATAATTATATTAGAAATAATCACAAAGAAGAAGAAGAAGAAGAAGAAGAAGAAGACGATTGTTGTTGTGTATATGTAATGTGTGTGTCACCTCTCTTTCACTCTGTTTGTTGTGTATATGTAATGGGCGTTGTGTTTATGTAATGGGTGTGTGTCTTCTCTCTGTTCTTCTCTCTCTTACACTTTGTTTTCTATATGTAATGGGTGTTGTAGATCTGAAAAAAAAAAAAAAAAATTCTGAATTACTCAGGCTTAATCTCAACCCTTGGATGGATCAGTCTAAGAGATTACTCTAAGATTTACGCTCTAGAGGATCTTAGCTCTAACTTCTCGTGGCTGTGTATGGATGCAAGTTGTCGTAAAGTTGGTCAAAGAGCACATGGTTTTGTCCTTATCCACGGTTTTGGAACATTGTTTCTGATAGAAATGGAGGAGGCTTGGTTTTATATATAAGGCTACGTTTGACATGTTCATTTGGATAAAAATAGTCATACATGATAAAATTGATTATTTTAATCAAATACGACAAAATATTACATTTAAATCATAATTTTTTTTCCTCAAAAAATCCAAAAATCCTATCCGAAACGAAACTTTTTAGCTCCGGACTAAAATAGCTAAAAAGTCAAAAAGTTAAAAAGTCAACACACATCTCAAACGGAGACTAAGTAGGGGTGTAAATTTGGCTCGGCCCAATCCACTTGGGCTCGTGCTCGGGTTGGCCCATGTCGAATCGCGTGGGCTCTTTCTAAAATTCAGGCCAAGTTAGGCTGGTTCACGAGTTAGAAAATTAGATCTAGGCCCAAGCCTAGGCCTTAGGAGTATTAGGGCCTTGGTGGGTTTGAACATTTTTTTTTTCTTTCACTAAAATTATATTCTTTTCTATCAAAAATGACATTAAGCCTCAGGTGGGCCGGATTTTGAGTGGGCCTTGACCTAGCCAGGCCAAACAAGCCGGGCTCACGAGCTGGGTCGGTCTTCAAAATGATAGCTTAAGCTTAGGGTCCAAAACTGGGTTCAAGCACGGGCCTAACCGGACTGAAACCATCCTAGGTCACGGGTGAGTTTCGAATCGCCCACAAGTCACAAGCCATTTTTACATCCCTATATATAAGGAAATTTAATCATTTTACATAGGCTTATCATTATAGACATAATAAATTAATCCCTGAACCTTTAAGTGAAAAAAAAAATTAAATTAAATTTTTTGCCCGAACTTTAAAGGAAATGAAAATACTGGTTGGCATTTTTAAAAAATGAGGTGTTTTCAAAAAATTTCTAGAAAATAATTTTGGAACAAAAATTTTCAAACAAAATTTCCATGTTTTCCTAAAAATGAAACAAAAAAACAAAAATCGGAAACACAACCAAATAAGCTTACCCCTATCCATATGTGCCTCAAAGTTCAACTGTGATAAGATATTGGGTGAGTTACACCAAAAGTCCCTATAGTTTGGGATTTGTGTCACTTTAATCCTTAACTTTTCAATTGTGATACATTTGACTTTGAATTTTTAATCTTGTTCTAAATAAAGACAATTGAAGATACTATTGGATTTTTCAAGGGCAAATTCATCAATTTGATAAAATATAAATTAATTTAACAAAAATAATTGTTAAAAAATTATTTTTGAATTTTAAAAAATTATTTCTACCTTCTAAAGATAAAATTATATAAAATTGTATAAAATTGATATATCTTTTAGATATTTATTTTTTTTACTAAATTAATTTTTATTATGTATTTGGATGATGATCATGTAAAATTAATCATGTAATTTTTAATAATTTTTATCAATTTTACATAATTTTATTTTTGATAGGTAGAAATAATTTTTTAAAATTTTTTTTTAAAAAATTGACATTTATTTTTGTCAAATTACTTTATATTTTATCAAATTGACAATTTTACACTTGAAATTAAACAATGGTATGTTCAATTGTCCTTATTTGAAACAAGATTCAAAATTCAAGATCAAATGTGTCACAATTGAAAAGTCAGTAACTAAAGTGACATGAGCCCCAAACTATAGGGACTGTTATTGTAATTTTCCCTAAGATATTTTTCCATCAAACTATAATGAGGGACTTAGTTTGACTTAGGTCTTGTTTGTTATAACTTAAAAAAATTAAAAAGTCAAAATTCACTATTTTATTTAAGTCGCATTATCTTATTTAAGTCATATCACCTCTCTACTACATCACTCCAAACCCAACCCATACCCAACCTATATTTCATAAAAAGTCAAAAAATACACTTATTTAGATCATTCCAAATCACTCCTTAATTTGGTCAACTTATAAATTTTTGTTTTAAAAAAAAAAATTATTTTAAACTGTTTTATTAAACTTACAACTTTTGATTTTAACAATTTATTTTAATTTAAAAAAACTTATTCTGAAAAACTGTCCACCCATGTTTCGGACTCTAAATTTCTACTATGGGTATTTTAATTTATAATTATACCCTTGATTTTTTATTTTTTATTTTTTTTAACAAATAGAAAAATGCCCAAATTTTTTTTATTATTATTATTATTTAGTTTATTTTATTTTTAAGGAAAATGTGCAGTAGTGGTGAATAACAAAAAAATAAAAATTAATTTAATTTACAATTAACAAAAATCAATTCAATTTGGGTAAAAATGACATTTACACATCAAAAATCTATTTTACAACTTATTTACTAAACATCACTCAGCAACTTAAATCTATAATCCAACAACTGCACACCAAACAGATCGACTTCTTACTAAAACTATAATCTACAATCCGTTAAACTATAATTTATAATATGTTTTATAATATGTTGCAACTCCAAGTGTCTCATTCACAGTTTTCGAATTACATATGAAAACAATGATATGTTTCTGATTATTAACACAAATGTTTTACAAAGTAAACAATCATCATAAGAAATTTACAATATGAACTTTGTCTGCTCCTAGAACCACCAAACACAGTCTCAATGTATCCTACATGAACACAAAATTGATACTACTACAAATGAATAAAATTATAATAACCACCTCACCAGTATATCACCGTTATAATAACACGCTCACAAAAATTTACCAGAACCTGTGATGACAAAGCATATGGTAGCCAACTTCAAGAGCAAATGGCTTCGGCTACAGGTCCTAGCATCCACCGTTTATACAGAAATTCAAGTTTTCAGGCCCGACACGTGGATACTCCGAAATTCTGCTACATAAAAAAAAAATTCAATCTGCAATCGACGTTTGAGAAAGTTAATGGGATAAAATCTCTGTCACCCGATCCTGCGAGTCCGCAGGAATCTCCCTTCCAGGGACCTGGACCTTGAGAAGATTAGAGTACCTGATTTCCAAAAGTGGTGCAAGTAATATGTAAGAATGGAAAAAAGTGTAAGTAAGTTGTTTTCTTTTATTTTTGTTTTTGGAGGAAGAAAAAGCAAGTCATTTTTTTCATTTGGACATTGATTTTCAAACAAAACCACATGGTTATGAAACCAACTTCTGAACAAAAAGATATGCTTCGGAAATCTGAATCATAAGGTTTTGTTTCGGAAATTGATATCCAAACCAAATGAGTGCATGAACTGAGATAATGTAGTGTGCGGAAATAGAATCTCCCCAAAAGTAGGAGACAAATACACCTGTTCCCTAACTATATAACTAGATGGATGTAGCAACTCACTCTCCAGGTGTGAAGAAGTGCTCATGCTCCGTAATGAAGGCAAGTAAGGCCTGTAAACAAGAATTGAACAATGATCTCTGATGGCAACAAGATGTGAAAAATTTGAAGTGTGAAAGTTAGATGACTTACTTCAAATGGCATGTTTAACAGTTCATAGTAAGTCCGAACACGATCCAACTTCAGTTGTACAGCTTCACTGTCAATCGATGGGATAGCAGCCAGTGCCTATAAATATAAATAACAATTTGAATGGATCATGTAGTTTAATTGAATTTCCTAGTCTTGGAATTAATTAATACAATTCCTACTACAGGCGCTGAATACGTGCCTCTCATCAATTAGCACAAGCATATTTAGGGTGACTTGTCCACAAACTGGGGGAAGAGAATTTTACATATAGAAGAAATTTATTAGTAGACATAACAACAAAGTGCTAGCTCAAGATACTGGATTTGCAGCAACAGATCTTTACTCTTTCTTTAATAGCATATAAATATTGTTGACAAAAATTCTAATACATTGCATAATAATTAGTAGTCTTGGATTCTGATTTTAAACACATTTTTATTTCTGAGATAATAAGGTTGAGTTGGGATTTTTGATTACATAAGCCTACCAAAATAATCAATAAATAGCAATATTAGCCGAAGCCTGCTCAATGTTTATGCTCTTCTTGGTTTGGTGCAAATACAACCAAGCTGGAACACCATTATTGGAGAAACCTTTATACATTAAGGGGATAAAAAAAATCATTCTTTTCTCATAGATTATATTTCCCTGATTTTTTATATTTTTTTATTGTAGATATATGTATTCAATTTATTATTGGACTCAAGAATGTACTAGACCACATCAGCAGGGACCTCTAAGATTAACTTCAGATCCCAAAAGGGCCCAAGTATATGTCCTCGGAGGCAGAGCCTTTGGGAGCCCCTGACAAGAAAAAGGCCTATTTTGCCATGTATTGGTCATGTACAAACCATATATCAAGATTATGGATCCAAGTTCAGGAACTTGGATGTCAAGGGAAAAGCAAGAGAGACTATAAAATATAACTCGTTACTCGTCACACAGTCCGATGTTTCTCCTTCATGGATATAGGAGACCACCGCCAGACTAAAAAATTCTTGCTGTATTCTGTGTATGCTTCTTTCTAGTTACAATTCCTATGGCATAATTGAGAAATACAGAATCTATACACAAAATTATGCAGAACAAAGAAAATATATATATATATTTTTTACTTTTATTCTTTTGCAACAGAAATTTAGGTGAAATGTATTTTACTTATATAAGCAAATGTCAACGAGATAAAATACAATAATCTGCATCATGAAACAAAGTTTTCCTATTTAGAATAAAGAAAAACTTTTTCAAAATATTCGCATGAGAATGTCAAATGAAATTAACCTGCTCCAATGCAATTGAATTCCGACATATCTGCTGAACTCCAAAAAGGTTGATGGATTTCATTTCAGCCAAAGCCTAAGAAGACATTTTCAACTCTCTCATTAGTAATGGTACGAAGACAAAGAGCTCCCTAAAATTCAGTTTAAACTATAATCTTAAATATAAGCAAGCAACGAATAATAAAAAGCATTTATTTCCCAACAAAAAATTTCAGATAGAGTACACGTGCAAACCTTGATGGATGAATTTGCTGCAACACTACATATTCCACCAAAGATATAACTCCGCTTTACTCCCGCAACAAAAGGGGCCATTTCCTGATCCCTGCGTGTTATCTACAGATATACAGAAAAATAAAGAATATGAAAAAGTGATTCCATGAATTTAAGCAACAAAATGAGATTTGAGAAAAGTTGGAAGTAAATGGAAATCAATAAAAAAAAATTCTATTAAAAGTGAATCATCTGTTATTAATGTGTCCCAAGGTTAAATCTCTCCTTTCATCAAGTTAAAATGACATAGAAATCTGTGCAACAAACGGCAAAAAAGAAAGCAAGAAAATAAATAGCTACACTTTCCCCAGCCAACAAACTTTATTTATTTATTTATTTTGTTTTTTTGATAAATCCAACAAACTTAGAAAATGAAAAGATTACAATTAACCTGGCTGCCAATTAAAAGATTACAATTAAGATGCCCTTTTAAGTTTTTATTTTTTTATTTTTACACTCTTTTAAGGTTGCATCAAGTAAAGATTTAAAAAATAAAAAAATAAAAAAAAGGTTTATTCTGCCTTTACCAGAAAATCACATGGGGTCTAAGTCCCTTGACACTTCAGTTGCTAAAAGATGTAGGAAAATGAAAGAAATCTATCTTGTGACTTAAAATTTCATCATTCAAATGTGAGAAAATAAAACTTGCGGTTTAATACAAGTAAGTCGTTCTCTTTTCTTCTTTATTTTTTTCTCCTTTCTCTGTGGAATAAAAAAGTACAGCAATTATTAGAGCAATAGTTATATGTGTCCGTCTGTCTGCATGTATGTATATAAACCAATGCAGCAGTTGATTTCTACATTGTTCATAAAGAGAGCATATTTATGTGGTCCAATAGAAGTACATTCATATTCTACTGAACATCTGACTGTTTATACTGTTTGAATTGGCTATACAATTATTACCACCAAAAGGACATATTTGGCTTATGGAGTGATATTGAGTTTCTTAACCGAGTTTCATTTAACGCATAATTTGGTACATATCCCCAAAGAGTTCACAAATTGTTTGACAGCATATATTTATCTAAAAATACTTTCAACCAATGTGCTACTAAAATAGAAAAACACAATCATTGTGGTTTCTTATCACAGACAGTATTTAAGAAATTCAGGGTTCGTTTGGTTTGCATTTCTGAAAAATTTTTAGGAAATTTTCTCTACAAATAAGTTTTTAAAAGTAATCAAACTAAACAAATTTTTCCAAAAAAATTTCTCAAAACTTGTAAACCAAACAAGTTTTTCAAACAAATCTCTCTCTCACACACATCAAATCAATCACTTTTTTTAAAACTCTCTATCAAAATAATTTTCCAAAACATCTGTTGAAAAAAATCAAACCAAACAACTTTTCATACTTTTTATCTCTAAAACACATCTCTCAAATACAAACCAAACATACCCTCAATCTCCCCCGATAGATGGCATAACCAGCTGATTTAAAATCCAAGATCTTTGAAACAGAAGCAGTTACAAGATTGAACTTCACGCAAACATCTTTCACTAACAATGTGATGTCTACTTCATTTGTCGTCGAAAACTAGAAACAACAATACTCACCTGTGCAGTAAATGAAATAATGAAATCATCAGGCTCCTCTGCATCTTGGTCCTCCAAGTATTCTCTATTAGTCATTTCCTGTTAAATTTGATTGCTCAGTAAGTTCATATAAACTGCATGACTGTTTCCATTAATTAAAGTTTCTATTGAGGCAAATGTTGATAACTAATGTATGTCACAGACCTGCATATGAAAAACTGTCTCCAATTGCATCTCTACACGTAAAACCTTGAGGCAATCAATTGCCAGTTTTCTATATTCTTCAGCAAATGATGCCAGATCTTTAGGCAGTCCACTATTTGTTCGAGAATGACGTCGCACCTGCTTTCTATTTTCTTCGACTTGGTTAGATGCTCTTGTGCATGTTTTCCCAAGCCTGTTTATTGCATGGCAAAATCCTCATATAAGCCGTTGCATATAATTTATTAATGAGAAGTTTCATAAATCTACAAGTTCTATCATGCAGAGCATAGTTGTGTGGATCATGAATTGAATTGAATTGAATTGAATCATGAATTGCAAACCCATCCTCTAGTTCTTTACGTCTTTTTGTAAAAAAACAAAACCCACTAGACAAACCAATTCCCAAATAAAACAGATGAAAAAACACATGCACACGTAAAATTGAACATACGAAAGATCAGACACTAATTAAAAAACTTGTGAATGGTGGCCGCATGGTCGGTAAGGGTATTTGCCTTCAAGTCAAGTGATGTCGTTCTGAGCCACACCATTATTTATAATCCTATATTGTATATCTATTTGTGTGTGTTAATTTACTTGAAATAAAAATTAAAATACAAAAAATTAAAAAAAAAACGGCCTATAATTTGAGAAAAACAAGCTATCGATTCGAGGCCCATCATACAAGAAGTTAAAAGATCCATAATTTAAGATAATAAAATATGCATAAAAATTTTAAAAACTATCCCAACTTAAAAACTTCTCAATTACTAAGAGGAAAATATCTTTTCTATCAAACCTTAGTCCATACACCATACCAAATCATATGGTCCCATATAAGATCACTAGCCTTCTTCTTTCCGTTCCTATCATCCACCTTCAACAAGTATGTAAATAAATCCAAATCCAAACTCCCAAATTTTAAACAATTAGTGACAACAAGTCAGTACCTTAAAAATGTTACACAACTACTACCTCAAAGGTGGCAAAGTACCAACATAACCAAAAAAATTCAAACCTCTAGATAAATACCCCCAAAAAAATTCCTTTAGCAAGTCAAAACACGTGACTAATGTCAGGGAGTATGAAGCCTTGCAGAGAGATAAGAAATTCCTTGTGACTTTGTCTATTGAAAAATTGGGGTCAAATCAAAGTCAATAAAAGCTTTAAAATGCATTGGTAGACCTCTTTCCAACCAAAAACAGCCAAAATTAGGAAACAATACACTTGGCAGAATCAATGATGAATCAACAGGTTCAGTCGATTCATTGATTCACCCATCAATTAACACCTACTGATTCACAAAACAAATTTGTTTTGATTAGTGCTTTAATCGAGTCCAATCATACAATTGTAACAACTATGATTCAGAGTATAAAGTGATCAAGTCATAATTATATTTCATGTAACATAACAGGAAAGATGCTAATGCATAAAAAATTTAAAAAAAAAAAAAAAAACAGAGACCTATCAAGATACAAATGTTAATGCACCTTTTAGAATGGTATCATAATCACCAAATGCAGGCAACCTGTATCAATCAAAGACTGTAGCATGTAGACTCAGTGGAGAAACAACTAATGGACAGTACAAACAAGCTTAATTGTTAAAAATCTATTGGTTGTATTACTAAAGACGAGGAAAACGAGTCCATAAATTGTGTTTCAGAGTTGGGAGTTGTTTAATTAGTTGTGTGGCCCATCATCACTATCGGACACAAAACCAAAAAATATATGAATAAACAAATAAAAGTAACAGTCGATGATAAATTTCACTAGATAACCTGAAAAGTATTAAGTGTTCAACAAGCACCATAACAGACACAGAACACAGACATGATAAGACAAGATCACACTGACAAGTGAATTTATTTATTTTAAATGGACACAACAGTATATGAACATAGTCCTTATTTGTACATAAATTATACAAATTTGATAATACTCTAAATTTCTATATCGTGAATTTCATAGTGGGTAAGATGAAGCATGGATGGTTGCATGTCTGTGTTTGATACTGTACTAACTTAAGTATAGGCCTATGCTGAGAAATAGATAGGGGTTATATTTATAAATATGAAACTGGGATATTTCTTATGCATACAATTGATAGCCATGACTCCACAATCTGTGCAAAACTTCAGTCAATTTTAGGGTTCATAAATGATTACTGCAACTTAAGATCACACATGCAAACACATCAGAGGACTTGCCTTTCAATTGAGTCAGCAACATACTCCAATGAATCACTTAGGGAGGCCAACAATATGAGTTTGTTATCATCACGAATTAGATTATCCTGCACAAAAGACACAATTCAAATAGTGAGTAAAGTTTTTTTTTTTTGGATAAATAAGCATATATTATAGAGAAAGCATCAAGATGATGCAACAAATACAAGAAGGCCACCCCAATTTGGGGAGAACAAAAACAAGCGCTAACCAATCACCTCATCTAAAAAGTCTAAAAAAATAAATAAATCCGGATCTACCTTCCCCTCCAATCAACTATACATAACTACAAGAAGACGATTCTGTAATCAAGAAATACCATGAAAAATCTCCAAAAAAGTGCGTCTATTCCATTCCAACCAAACAAGCCACATCAAACAAAACGGTGCCAGTAACCACACCCGAGCCGGACGCCTCGGCAAGCCCAAAGCAAATCCACCACCCCCTTTGGTTGAACCCAATCAACCCCAAAGAGTGAGCAAAGGAAACCCCACAAATACGAAGCCACCGAACAATGAAGAAACAAATGGTCCACCGACTCCGCATCAGCACAACACATATAGCACCGATTCACTAAAACATGCCCCCGCCGCACCAAATTATCCAACGTAAGATTCTAACCTAAAGCTACCGTCCACATGAAAAAAGCAACCTTAGACAGAACCCCCAGTACCCAAATACTTTTCCATGGAAAGATCCTGCCATAGTCCCCCACCAAACCCCAATATAATGACACTACTATGAACCGCCCCTTTGCCCCCCACCCTATTCCACACCATGACATCTTGTCCCACCCTAACAGTCCCCAAACCATATAAAAAACCCCCACAACTCCACCAACTGATCAACCTCACAATCTTGTACCTCCCGCCGTAATTGAATATCCCAAACCACCACACCCCCACCTCCCAAACAAAAAGCCACCAGAGCCTCCCGATCCGTCGCAACATTAAAAATTAAAGAAAAACGGGTCTCCAACAAAACCTCCCCACACAACCTATCTTTCCAAAACCTCACGCTCATCCCATCCCCCACCTTGAACCCTACCCACTTCCAAAACTCCACCATCCCCCGCCAAATCCATTTCCATAACCCACACCCATAAGTACAGGACACGTCCCCCGAAACCCAACCCCCCTTTCCCACCCCACATTTAGAAGCTACCACCTTCCGCCGTAATCTACCACACTCCAAAGCAAAGCGCCACAACCACATCCATAACAAAGCTCTATTGAAAGTCACCAACCTCCTTACCCCCAAACCTCCAACTTGCTTAGGTTGACAAATCCACCCCCAATCAACCAAGTGATACCTAAAATCAGCACCACCACTACCCCACAAAAAGTCCCTTTGAAACATCTCCAACCGTTGTGCCACCGACACTGGAATAATATACTGCTTAGCACACTCTTAATCAATGTCAACCACCCGCCTTTAAAAAGATATTGACACTTTCAACCCACCAAACGACGTTGAACACGTTCTACCACTCCATTCCACACCCCCTTCGCCTTGAATGAGGCCCCTAACGGCAAACCCAAATATGACACTGGCAAAACCGAGACCTTACATCCCAAAATTGCTACCAAGATGGGCAACCTATCAACCTCCCCAACTGTAATGAGCTCCGACTTCTACAAGTTGACCTAGAGGCCCGATACCGCCTCAAAGCAAAGCAAAACACATCTTAAATATCCGACCTGCTCCGCCTCAGCACCACAGAAAATAAAACATCATCTGCGTATAACAAATGAAATACCCTAATAGTAGTCCCATCCAACGATCCCACATCAAAACCTTTCCATGGACCTTCGTGCACGACTCTATCCAACAATCTACTCAACGCCTCCATCACTAAGATAAATAACAGTCGTGACAAAAGGTCCCACTATAGAAGACCTCGATGTGTCTAAAAGAATCCCGCTAGAGTCCCATTAATCAACACATCCGCACAGTCGATATACAGAACTTGATCCACTTACACCAAGTCTCCCCCAAAGCCCATGCGATTCAATACATACAATAGGAACTCCCAATTAACGTTGTCGTACGCCTTCTCAATATCCAATTTGCAAATCAAACCAGGGCGCCCCTAATGAATCCGAGAATCCACACACTTATTGGCAACCAATACTGCATCGAGAATCTACCTCCCCCAACAAACGCATTCTGACACTTTAACACCACAGCTTGTAAAACTCTTCGAAGTCTATTTGCCAACACTTTAACCAATAACTAATATACACTCCCCAGCAGACTAATAGGCCTAAAATCACGAACATCTTCAGCCCCCCCTTTCTTAGGAATCAAAATCAAAAAAGCTGCATTGAAACCCTATGCTCTCCCAAGATCCTATCAAACTGAACACCTTCCAAACCTGGCCTCCATGCCCCTTCTTGTTGCCAGAATAGATACTGATAGAAGCCCATAACCCCTTTCCTAATTTCCACATTCATGTGCAGCTCTTGGCCATCCACCCGAATCCTACTGATTTGATTAACCCTCCAATGAGCATTTGCCATCCGATGGAAGAATTTTGTATTCCAATCCCCGTCCTTCAACCACAAACATCTAGACTTTTGTCTAAAACATACCTCCTCCATATGGGATATATGAACAAAATTCTGTCTAGCTGCCTCCTTTCTAATAGCATCATCAGTGGACAGCCCCCCTTGAACCTCTAGCTCATCTAAGGACCAAAGCAAGGACACCACCGTTGTTTTTTGACCCTCTAACCAACCAAACACCTCCTTATTCCACTTTTTCAAATCCGCTTTAAGCATCTTCAATATATGAGCCAACACACAACTAGGAGAACCAAAGCACACATAACCATTCCACCATCCACGAACCAACTCCATAAAGCCCTCCTTTTGCAACCACATATTCTTAAAGCGAAATGGCATAGGACCACGTCGAACCCCCCCACTATCAAGCAAAATGGACCAATGATCGGACACTGGCCGAGGTAACCGGATCTAAACAACCTCTGAAAAATGCTCCTCCCATCCCCCAGTAACCAAAAACCGGTCAATTCGAGACAAGCTCTGCCCATTTGACCATGTGAAGCTTCCCCCCTGGATAGGTAAATCAACCAATTGCAAGTTATCAATGAAAGAACAAAAGGCCCTCATTACGCCCGAACTCCTAGTATTCCCCACCTTCTCTGATGGCCATCGTACAACATTAAAATCACCCCCCACACACCATGGTACATCCCATCGAAACGCTATGTTCTCCATCTCCTCCAAGAACATACCCTGCTTTGAATTCTGCATAGGCCCATACACTCCAGTAAAAACCCCATCAAAAATTATCCTCCACACATCGTAACAAACATGATATTGACAAGCCTCCAACCTCCTCCTTGCTCACCACCACCCTCCTATCTCAGCAAAGAAGAACCCCACCCGTCGTCTCATCTAACTATTGTATGTATGTCACCACGTGGCTTATGCCACTCAATAAGATTGTTATTGTCAAAATTTGATGCTGCTTATACTGAATATGGTGCCCACCTTGATGTAAATATTTAGTCACGTGAGTTCACTATTTCATTCTTTTCTTTTCTTTTTTTTTCGTCCCTTTTACCCCCCCACACCTCACGAATCAGCTCCACCCCCACCACCTCCATCTTCGTCTCTTGTAAACACACAACATCAGCTTTTGCACTCTGCAACATTGCCTTCACCGCCACCTTCTTATCCTTATCATTCAAACCCCGCATATTTCACGATACGATTTTTAATTTCATTTTAACAGCAATGGTCCCATATGGTCTCTCCTTTTGCCCCATCCGACATTCTTCACTCCATGATCATAATTCACAATGCACTCTACATTTTTAAGCTCTCGATTACTTTTACAAGGGGTCACAAAAGGCATAGACACCTCTTAACTAGGAGCCCCTTGCCGCCACAACGCCTCCATTGTCGCAAACAGTCGCATTGCCTCCTTTTCGTGGCCTTCAAACGACAGACCCAAACAACAGCTGACTTCACTGATACGTTCCAGCACCCACTCCGATTCTACCTCAGCCGAAGGAATCTCCTCCCTATTCAATCCATCGTTGACCTCGAACTCCCTCTATTTCTGTGCCAGACATGTCTCGGAACACTCTCCTCCACTGCTAAGGATTGCAACACCATGGCCTCTGACTCTCCACCACTATCGTTCCCCTACCCACATCTGTCGTCCCAAGATGCACCTCTGGGCACCTCTCTTTCAGGCTAGGTCTCCTTTTCTTCCGACTCTAAGCCCTCCAACTGAGAATTAGCTCCCTCCACCTCCGCTACCAACCGCGACCCTAGTTCAGTAACAGGTGGGTCTCAGCAAACCATCAACTCCATCCCCAACAGCGGCTCTAACCATCAGCGATAATCACCTGCTTCTGTTGAACCCACCCGACCCATCTCGCCTAGGTTTGTGTCGCACGAAGCACTACAACCCACTCCTCTTTCGATCCAACCCACATCAGTGAAGTTTTTTAGGCTTGAATCACAAGCTAAAAGAGACCACCTCTTTATTTGCAAGGCCCCACATTTGATTCCCCTTATATTTTGTCACAGCCCACCTTCGTTTTCCCACCTCTCCTTTGTTAGTTTCTTAGGCCTTTCCCAAGCCCACCTACCCCCGCTTAAGCCTCCTTGGACAATCCATATCCACCCCCACAGGTTGGGTAGTGTTGCCCCGAATACCCACGGACCTCTTCTCCTTCCTAAATCTTTGCAGATATTCATTCACCCCAAATCTCCGAAGGAATCCATGCTCTAATTGCCCAAAATTCCTCCTTTCCTTGTACAAACTAGATCCCCCATCTTTCTCGGTCATCGGCGACCTCAGCTCCACCATCAAATCTACCTCTACCTACACTTGCAATGAGAGCTGCCACATCCCCCATCGGAGGAGACTCGCGCCGGCGTATTCTCTGAGCATCGCACACACAGTCGGATTGAGCTCAGATCCACCGGCGACTCATCTATCTCCACGAAGCCGCCATACTGATCACCGATAATACGTACACCTCTTCTCCACGGAGATGAATAGGCAGACCCACCACCCAAATCCAGACACTTTTCTCAAGCCTCAAGTTCTTCCCTGATGTACAGAGGGCCAATGGTGACCACCACTCCAACAATAGAACACACCCATCCACTGTCCACCGCCATCGCAGCAACGCCTCCGCCACACTTTTGTTTGGCAAAACGAACAAGAAGGCTTTGTCTCCCAGCGGTTGCATCTCCACCTTCCCTGATTGTTACCACCAACGGCCAACCCAGTCTGAGATAGTAGCGAAACTCAAACCTTTGCCATCCATCCCCCCCATCTTACCCACCAGCGACCTATCCAACATCCGGAACCAATCAACCTCTACCTCAGTACAAACAACCCTTTTATACTCACATTCAATGGCTGATAACATTGACCCAGAGTTGAACATCATCTTCCTCGAGCCAGTAGGTCGCGATACCCTTTCATCGCTCAACCCAAAGCCTTCTATGACCAGGGCCACCCCTTCCCAGCCATCGCCGAATGCAGACATAGGTATGAAAATCTGTTCTTGTCGCTTCCCTATCATCACCACTACTTGAAACGACGACCTGCCTCTTTTCTCATCTCGTACCCAGACTGTTGTAGTTCGACTGCCCGCACTAAGACAACCTAAAAACTTTAGACTACCTGGTTCCATAGATGCTATCTTCATGATGGTCACAATCCAATGTGCTTCCGATCCATTCAGAACCACCGCCCGTCGAAGCCCCTCCCCCCTCTCAACAATGGATAACTTGCTTTTCCCATCCACTTCCACCACTGTCTCCTCAATCTCGAACGACCGGCCGCCAAGGAAAAGAATCCGTCGGCGTGGCCCAACTTCTTTCTTTACTAGGAACATTACCTTCCTATAATCTTGGAGCTCTCAAAAAACATATATATATATATATATATCTAAATTCTTTCAAATAATGAGTAAAGTTGACATCTAGGTGGAGACTTTACGGCATCAGAGATCATTTTATCACTAATTAACAAACTAGAACTTCTGTAAAAAAATCCAATTTCTAACAACCTGCTATGGAAACGAAATTAAGTCCCAACACGTAACTAACGACACAATACTTTTACAACATATACATACCTGCCTGATCGGCCGTAAATTCAATAATAAGTCACTCATTCCCATTTCAACCTCAACAGTTTCAGCATCAGAAGCATTATTTTCCATGTTTGGCTGACCAAGTGAATTTGGTAAACATGCGCTAGCTGGATCAAGTCGCATTAGATTCTCTACATCATGCCTCCCAATGAGCATATAACTTAGCTTCTCAAGAACCGCCTGCATATTACCCCATAGGGAAAAGGAAAGAAAAACTAAAATCAATGGAAAAAGAAGATTACAGAAGACAAATATCTATCACTGATACATGCTATTCACCAAAAAGAACCATTCAGGAAGGCATTTCGGGGGGGGAAAAAAATACTGAAATTCCCCTGTAAGTATACTGAGTTATAAATGAGAATGAAAGCATTATCACAGACAGAAACACTACCCCATTGGGCTGATTTAAGTTAGAGAAAAGTAGAGATCCCTTAAAACCAAAAAGTTTAACGAAAATGAAAACTACACACATTACTTCACTAAACCTGAGTAAAAAAAAATTGAAGTATGAGTAAAATAGATGGTGACTGTATACTCGTAAGTTAACTTTCTACTATATCATATCAATGATCCATAAAGAAACAATGAAGTCATGACCAATCAAAATCGAAAGAGAGATGGATTAAAGGAAGGAGTGATATCAAAAGGTTGTGTTGTCATCCCATATACAACTATGCATATAAAATGGATAAAATGCGTACTAGGGTGGGCAAACTTTAAAAAATGAGAAGGCACACACAGGAGCTACAACCAAATTGGTTGCAAAGAGTTGAAATGGGGATAACATGCTCGGTAATAATGGTTTAACTTCCTTTCTATTACTCCTGGGAAATTCTACCTTTTTTTTTTCTCCTTTATATTCCAATATATTCCTTCTGGAGAGAGGCACACCTAAAGCTTTCTAGGTATATTTGGGTTTGAAGACAGTAGCCTTCTTAGTTTACTTGCTTCCAAATACTTTCAGTAATATATTTAGCTGCAGTCAATGTTAGAAAAGAATCACACTATAAACAAAGCATCAGCAACAACTTAGACAAGAGAGAGAATATGAGAATATAAATGATGAAACAATTGCAAATGATATTTCAAGAGAGAAAAAATTAAGAAATATCCATGCCTCCATGTACGAAGTTCGACATCTTTCATATGTTCGCTCGAGGAAAGTCTGCACGTACTTCACAAGGTCACCAGAAAATTTAGGCATTGCTTGAGCCCAACCAAGAACCTAGTGCAAAAGATGTGTAACTCAAATAATTTGACATAACATACAATAAAAATGACACAAAATATTAAACAAGTTTCCAAATCAGAATTATCAGATCATTCCATATTCTCTACTACAACATGTATTACATTAGATCTTTGCTATTGTAAATTTATAGGGTAACATTAAAAATCAACCCTTGGCTTGTTTTGAATAAAAAAAAGATAAGATAGACAACAAGAAGAAACAATCAAGCATACCTCTTTTGCTAAGAAATCTATAGCTAAAAGTCCTTGTAAGACAGGTCGCCCCCTTTCAATTGATGAAGTATAAGCAGCAGCTGCATGTGCTCGTGGACGAAATGCAGCTGGACCTACAATGATAGTTCTAGGAATTACATTATAATGGTCAAAACAAGAAGCAGCTAAAGCCAACCACCTAGTTTATGAGCAAAAGTAAGAAATCATTTCAGTGAATAACAATCTATGAAACAATTTCCAATATGCAGAGTGCGGACTTCATGTATCAACCCCACATGGAATCCAGATTCTTCTAAAATACCTCTTGTATAAATTTAAAGCTGTAATTTATTTTAGGTATCAACCTAATTAGATATACCATCATTTCCAGAGCTTGCAAAAGTAGCAACGGGAAATGTGTTGCATTCTACCCATCACATTATTTCCTGAGAAAAGGTAGCAGTCAAGGATGACACTGGTGCTCCAGCTTGTCCCCTCCTGTGCAGTTTACAGATGCTATTGTCTCTGTGCATAATTCACATGAACCTAATTATAGTTTTTAGTGGTCATAGTGTGAAACATGTATAAGTTTCAGACTCTTAAGAACCATCTACAGCAGTAAGGGATTGTCACGAACTAAGAAGGTCTAATTGAGAATCAATTCTATAACATTTTGCCTGACAGACATCCTAGAGCATTACAGCAAACCCAACATCAATACTCACAAATGCATACTTTAACGTTAGCATTTGAGTAATTTGAATAAACCATCGATGCTTAGCAAATTAAGGAAAATAAAGTTTAGTGAGAAAGATGGATTCTCAAACAGTTGTTATTGACTAACTAAAATCTCAATAGTGCGTAGAACTTGCTTGATATGGCTTGCTGCACGCCTTTTCTGTAATCTACAAACATTGTTGGTAAGAAGTGGTCCTTCACAAAGTTCTCCACAAATGCCAGCAATCCATCATTCCTGCAAAAATTACAAGTTTAAAAACACAAAAAACATAAACACAAGTAAAATATCAGAAAAAGAGAAATAGCAACACTCATTCACCAGATATTCAGTTGGATCAAAAGAATTCATTTTGTACAACAAAAGCATACCCAAAACAGGGAGAGCAATGTGTTATCGGCCTCTCTCCAAAGCGATCCACAGAGTTCTGTATCTAACCAAATAACTATCGAAGTACACAACTCACGAAAACCACAACATAAAACTTGATACAATGGGCAATTAAAGATAATATTCAAGCCTGGAGTTTCTTCTGGATCCAAACTTAGGAACAAATCAATCTTAAAATCTAATGCTAATATTAAAGGCAAATCTGGGGGAACAAATTCATTTACCCATAAGCAATGAACTTCTAAAAATTATACAACTGAATTGTCAACACATGAAGATAATATTTATCTTTTCATATGCACTTGCAATAACAATTAACTATGAATTATTTACGCAAGCACTGTTCAATAGTATCTGTAAACGTAAGTGGTCACATCAACGCACAGAATGGGTTCCAAACTTACCCTAGTTGGGAATACTTCTGAGGCAGCATTGAAGCAAGTTTATCTGTAAACTGCAGCATAACACGTCAGATAAGGTCAGCTAGAAAACTGGTCCATATACAGATGCTGGTCGGTACGCTTAGCCAAAGTTTATGACAAAGTGAACAGATTCATGACAGTGCCAAACCTGTAGAACTGGTCGGTATACAGATGCTGCTAGATATATGCCTTGCTCAGGTAAGACAGCTGCAGTTCCATAACCTTCTTGGAGAACATTTGAACCCCTTCTACCCCATCCTTGGCGAATAAGGTCAGTCCCTGAATAATAGTTATTAACCCATCATAAATTGGATGCCTACAAGTTTTTAAAAGGTAATTGATTGAAAATAACCAAGGGGGAAATGCAAAGAAAGAGGAGAAAGAAAGGAAGGAATCATGAACAGCTATGCAGACATCAATTGCAGATTATCAAAATGCATCAAACATAGTTTATGTACTTTCTTCTTTCTTCTTCTCATAATTTTACAGGCAACACAAGTTGCAACAGAACCGAGGGAAGTGTTTCCTTCAATGCAATTAAATAGACAATCAATTTCAGTGTTGTATGTTGTGCAAAATATGCAGATACAAATCAATTGTTGAAAATCACTTGCATAAATACATAATCAAGTCCCGTTCTGTGAAAACAGGTAAGAACCCCTTTCACGATTATTTAAAAAATATAAATAAAAATCAACAATCAACAATCAAAAGCTACAGTCAACTGCCTAACATGTTAAATTATCATTGTGTTTCCATGTGGCAAGTTAACAACTTAAAAGGCCAACTATATAGCAGATGAAAAGGTATCGGCTTGCTTCATAAACTGTTTTTCTGATCGGCCAGGCTTGCTTCATGAATTTAATTCCCATGGTTTTACATTTAATTTTCCATTGGTTAAGTTTACCTATCAAGCTAATTATGCTACAGTCTACACTGCCAATCCAAAAATAAAATAAAATCACAATTATATGTGCCATCTCGATCACACACATCAAACCCCACACAAAATCATGAAGCAATAGTTGCCACTAATCATATATATTCAATAGTGCATGGCATTTTAAATAATCAGACATATGACAACAGAAAATAACTTGTTAAGCTTCTTCCTAACTAAAACAATATACCAGACAAAATGTCATGCTAAAGACCTCATTACTTGAAGGATTGGCTTTCACTTTGAATTTATTTTATTTTATTTTATTTTATTTGGGGGGGGGTGTGGAGGGTTTAAAATTTAATAAACCAAACCAAACCAAGCCTTAAGTCCCATCAAATGGGGCCGGCCACATGAATCCTTCCTCTCCGCTTTTGCTTATACAGAGGTAACATTTACACTTCCATCATTTATACAGTACAATTATAGATAATAACCGAATTTATCTCAAAAAGCATGTGATGTAGCACCAGGAAGAAGAATAAATCGGAAATCACAATCCTAAAACGAAATATCTCAATCTTCAATAATCATTATTCAAATCAGGCTCACCTTTAAACCATTACACAAAGCTATATATATAGGCATAAGCACTATCTGATTAAGAAACCCTGGAATAAGAAACCAGGCAATAAGAAACTACTTTAAAAAATAAAAAATTATAAAACCATAATTCCTAATTAGACTAAATTTCATATATTCTTCAATTTATTATCATCTAATGCCTTTCTGATCCCCATCAACATCCATCCATGATTTTCTATTGAACAAGTTATTTTTAACAAAATACTTGCCACTAGAAACCCTAATACTATTTCTTGAAATTGCAGGCCACCTATGTTACATGGACTCTTCTAAATTTGTGAAGTACCCATGTCAAATGCTTGAAACTTGAGTAAGGGATGGGATATGTGTCCAATACACCTATTCGTGATGCACCCAATATGTATGTATTAAGTAGTCAAGTTTTATATAACTATGTATAAAACCTAGGGGTGACCATTAGTTCAATGGTAAAACCTTGGCCTAATAAGTAAAACCACCTATACATACATAATATTTTCTAGAGAATAACATGTAATATGATCTCATTCATGTAACAGCCATCAATTATGAACACAAATGAACTTCCATTCACCAAAACCAAGACAAAGTAAAATTATAAAGCCAAAGAGTATATTAATCTTTTATAAGGAGACCTAAAACATTTAATGCAGTCATTGCAACAGCATAGTTGTTGACTTACCCTGGTTAGGAATAGATATGGTAGCATCTGTGAACCGAAAAGCAAAGGTAAGACCATCTTCCGACCCATCCCTGCAACCCAAAAGCAATAGCATCATACCATCATTTCCTAAACAATTACATGCAAAATGAGAATAAACAGTAAAGTTTTCAACCAAGTCTAACAGACAGATCCTAGATGCACTATTACATAATAATAAACGCTAGTTACAAAGAAGGCAAAGCCATAAATTTTTCCTTGGAGGACCTATATATGATTTTGCGGAACCAAAGATCATGTATTGTATAACATCATTTTCCAAGTAGTGAATACAAAAAAATTATGCAGATTTTTTGCAATTCCTAAAAGAAAAATCAAAAGAAATTTAAAAAATCAATTGTTATTGTGCCTATTATATATATTGTTGATCACTGAAATTTGCAACTTTGTTTTTTGCTTAAGTGACTGGCTCTCATTTAGACCTTCTTTGTCCAATATGCTTATATTTGAGATGGGGTTTAACAAATCTCGGTCAATGATTTTCTATTTAAAACAAACTAGTAGATAAATATTTGGCCCTAAATCTAAGTCATCTACATGGATAATACTAAAAACAAAAGCCACCTTTCTACTGTTGAGGAGATTGTAAAACCCATTTATCTGCTTTATGCAACCCCCTAATGTTTTCACTAATTAAAAAAACAACTACAACTACATTAATTTTATGTTCTTATAATGGTGCGGATAACTTTTAGTCAAGAACATAAAGCCAAGATGATAGATATAAGTATACATGTCTATACAATTTTTGGGGAGGGGGTTAATAAAAACCCCAAAAACTACTAGCAATATGAAGATTAACGGAGAATAACGAAGGACAAAAAATCCTTTTACACACACGGAGGTGGTTTTGGTAAGGGTTGTTCACGGGCCGGGTCAATTTTACCAGTCATGCGCCACTTGAACCAATAACTTCAGGTTGGAAAAACATCTCAACCAAACAAGGGTTCGAAACCGATCACTTCAGGTGTAGAAAAACCAGTCAAACTTCGATCGGTCGTAAAACAAACCACGATTCTTCAAGGCACAATAGATCTCAGTCCATAGGGGTGTGGCAAAGGGGTTTTGGGGAAGGAGATGAGAAAACAGTTTTGGGGAGCGCAATCACAGGGGTTTGGGATTTAGGTTTCAGGGAATTGAGGGAGATCAAACAGTTTTAGGAAGATGAGGTATAGGAGAAAGAGCTTCCAGGGGGGAGACAGTGCAGATCTCAGTGCCACCATCTTGGCACCACCGCCACGATCTCACAAAGACCATCTCATCGGCTCGAGTGAATGAGAGCAAGAGGATATACAAAGAGTAAGTAGACATTACGGTGAGAGTGTTTTACAGAGAGAGGAGAGAGAGAAAGGGAGGGAGGTGAAGTGAGGCTACATCGTGAGGGAGGAAGGAGGTGAGAGATGAAGGAAGATAGAGGGACTGTAGAGAGAGTGAGACCTGTGGCTGTGACTAAGAGATAGGTGATTGTTGTGATGAAGTGTAATCTGGAGAGCCAATAAGAAATTCACGCGTAGAATAAGAATTAATTTTAAGAATATCTCGATCAGGTTGGATTATGTGGTTTTTTTTTTTTTTTTTTTTTTTTTTTTTTTTGCACTAGGCCTAATACCCCACTGCAAACCTGCCAAAAAAATACTCTTGAACCTGCAGCCGACCGGTTCACTCTTCGAAGTCGCCCGTTCGAGCTTGGGTAAGATCTGATCTGTCGGGTTGGGCAGGTCAGATGACATTTTTAACAGCCATAACTTTGGTTGTAGAGAAGGGTAGGGAAACACAAAAAGGAAAAAATGAGTAACCCCATGCAACTCAAGAAGGATAACAGTGACCTCCAAATTCTTCACGAGAAGAACCAGTGTCTGCCACAGAGTCAGCAGCCTCATAAACCACTATAAGGGAAGGGTCCACCTATTATCCACCATTCCACCTTGAGTGAGAGAACTAAATTCTACATTTCACTTAATGTATGGCCACAAACTAGGGAGTGAGATCTCATCAAATAGATAGCATGAATAACATCACTCTCTAGCTGATCAAAAAAACATCACCCTCTCCCAAAACAAATGGAACAATGAAAGAAAGCTTCCAAAAGGACTTCTATAAGTGCAAAAAATCTCCACCTAAATGGCATAGCCATTTCTTGCCAACTTGGAAAGAACAAGACTAGTATTTAACAATATAATCTCTCTTAAAAAAAACTCCATCAATGCCATGCAAACTTGGAATACCAATAGAGCACTCAACAAATTTAAACATAAACTCCTTAGAAGATGTGTCCAACCACCACAGGCCACCTCAGAGTGAAACCCTTTTTTTTATATATGTAAAATTCATTAATCAAATGCCACGAAAAAGAGGCGCAAACACACGTTGAATACAAAAAGAAAAAGACCAAAAAGTTTGCCAGCTAAGTATCCACAGGGATATACAATTCCACCAGAAAGTCAACAAACCGACAATAGCAAAAGGAAGATTCTCCCTAAACCCGTCTTTAAAAATTTTGCTAAATACAAAAAAAATACAAAAAGATGATTCTCCCTGAATTTTCGTAATTTTTTTCTATTTTTTTTTTTTTAAAGATTTCATCACAAACATTTTATTTTTTAAGTGTATCTAGATTAAGTGGATCTAAAAAGTATAAAAAAAATAAATAAATAATAAAAAACAAAATTGATCAAAATATTGGAAACTAAAAACAAAAAAAAAATACAGATTAAAAACTCAAAAAACTATTTTTGAAAACTCAAAACCAAAGTGTGCCTTTCAAGCACAATATAGACCTCTCACAACTACCAAAACACCTTTGTTTCCCCTCATTCCATAAACACCACATGAGCGAAGATGAGTTGCCTCCCACGCCCTCCGATAACTACCTCTTGAACAACCTCTACTTACTCGAAGTAGCAAACAAATCTCAAACCAAAGTAGGCATTACCCACTCCACTCTAAAGACTGAGTACACCATACTCCAAACCTCTCTAGCTACTAGGCAATGATGGAGAAGATGATTAACACTCTCCCCCCGCAAATTTGCACATATAGCACCACTCCAACACAAATTCGCCCCAACTTCTCAAATTGCCAATTATCAAATATAGCTTCCCTAGCAACCATCCACGTAAAAAAAGAAAAAGAAAAAACAGGCCACCTTAAGGCCCTTCGAACCTCAAATCCATATCACCAGCTCTATCAAAAGCTTATAGAATAAACCATCTTTAGTGCCTTCCAAACCAGCTCCTCCCCCACCCCAACTCTCACCGGTGTGTCTTGCAGAATTATAAAATAGGACTCAAGTGACTCCCGTTCCAAATCCTATAAAGGTCTCCAAAACACAAGCTTCCATACTATCCTCGCAAGAAAAGTTTCCAATACTCTACCACCAAACCCTCAAAATTAAATTACATAGCATAAAAATTCGCCGCACTAAGATTCATACCAAAACTAAACTCTGCTCCCATCTCCCACTCTAAAATAGATGAGGGTACAAAAAATCATCCTTAACCCTCACGATACTCATCCAAATGCCCACGCCAAATGAACCCCTAAAATGAGTTGTAAAGCAATCCACCCACTCAAGCCCATATTTGCCATCAATCACCCTTCTCCATAAGCTCTCTTATCTACAAAGCAAAGTGCCACAACCACTTACCCAACAAAGCCAAGGTACCCCCTATACTGATGCAAGCACATCTCCTTCCATTCAACCCAATGGCCGATCATTGAGGTTTCTAAAGAACTTGAAATCCCAAAAAATTGGGGTTGAAGAAGAAAGAACTGTTAAGTGTTATGGATAATTTGGTCTTTGTGTCTTATTCTTATAAGTATAAATAGTTGTGTGTTAAGGGGAAAACCCTACGTTTTGAATCAATATACAGCAATTGGTTCTCTCTCTCTCTCTCTCAATTCTGCAACCTCTCCTTCTCCTTCTCATCTATCCATTCAACATGGTATCAGAGCAATATCTTCCTCCTTGAAGATTGTTCCTCTCCTTCCCTCGTTCTTGTATCTGGTACGTTTCATTAAAAATAAAATCAAAAATAGTAGTATGCTCGAAAATTAATGGGCATTCATCCTATAATCTCCTTTTGATTTTTTGATTACTATTGATTGTGTTTTCAAATTTTTTTGATTTTTCGTTAAAAATGGGTGATTTTTTGAAAGTCATTGGTTGCACCCTTTGTAAGTGTGGTAGGTAAAGTTGAGTGTGTTAGGTGAGAGTTGAGTGTGGTAGGTAGATGTAAGTGTGTTAGGTGAGAGTTGAGTGTGGTAGGTGAATATGTTTTTCTCTTCTATATATAGGAGAGTCATTGTATATCAACATACATCAATCAATAATACATCAGTTTTTCTTACATGGTATCAGAGCAAGGTTAAGCACTTAGTATTTTTCGCTTCACCGGCGGGCGGCAACCTCGCCTTGGCCGTCCGCCGAACCTCAGCTTAGTCCGCTAGAATTTTCTACACATACCTTGCCTCCGCTGCCACTAAACCCAATTCAACATTCACCTTCTCATCTCTCCTCAACAAGCTCTCCAAACTCGCAGCGGTAGCAGCGGCTTGTCCACAGAGACGACCAGTCCTCCTGGCAGCAATAAGACCAACCTTTTGCCCAGGTGGTGCATCACGGCGAAACAGTGCTGGCATGACCAATATGTTGATGGTTACCACCACCATGGGGATGCTCCACGGGATTCATAGCCACACCACGAACCTTGGGCCAGCTGTTCCTCTTGACACGATACTTGTGATATGCGTTACCAGCCTTGAGCATGGGCTTTTTTTAGTACGTCCTCTTTATTTGGTGCCTTATCTTCATCCTTCTGCTCAGACTGATTTTGCATGGATGCAAGCAAATCTTTGACCGAAGGATCATTCGGATCAACTCCTGGAAGCGAAGCAAGGATTGACGACACAAATGACTGATCCGCCAACAGCCTACTCCATTGTCTGGACCTCCCAGCAAATCATTTTCTTGGTGGATAACACTCCCATAAGGGTATTCAAGAATGGTGAATCAATTGGTGTCCCTGTTCCT